TTGTTGATGTGGATTTGTTATCGACATGGAAATGTCACGTCAAGTTTGGACTGGATCACGGCGTATATTTTTGAAAATAAATTGAAATTTGCTGATTTTTTTTACACAAAATAAAATTCGAGATAGATTTGAGACTGAATTTAAAGTTTTGGGTTTTTTCTGAGACAAAAAAAAGTTGAGGGCAGATTTGGGACTTGACCTAAAATTGGGAGTTTTTTAGGGAATTCACCATGATTTGGTGATAGAAAGCTACTCGTGATATTCTTTGAAACTATGGATTAATGTAGAATAATTGATGAGACATAAGCAAAACAATAATCACTCTTTTGAGTCTTTAACTACTTCAGGCATTTTGTCACCAACAAAACTTTTACTTTCTTTTCTCCCTCGGTGAAGGGCATTTCCAATAGAATCGTCGATCTTTATTATTATTATTTTTTTTTGGCATTTGGCTCAATTTACAGAAAATGGATATTGAAATTTTAGTTGATGGAGGATTAAAAGACTATTGTTCCAAAAATTCCAAAAACCATTGTCGATTTTGTTTTAACAAGTAAAGGGTTATATACTTCCCAACTTCCATACTTCGCTAGCTCTGCACCTCCATTTTTTTTCTTAATAAGTAGTGGTTATATAGTTTAATTTTTAGAGCAAAACCTTAAATTATGTCCACTGTGATGCATTTATCCTCCGTCAAAGTTCTGTCAATGAGAACAGTTAAAAATCTATCCACATGGATACTAGAAAGCAAACAATGTTGATATGGCACCCACATGACTTAAATGAAATAAAAACGATATTATTTTGGTTGAAAAATCATTTAACAGAACTTTGATTGAGGGTAAATTGTCACATAGGTACAAGTTTGAGGTTTTTTATGTCACAAAAAATTATTTATGTTAAATGTGTAACAGCGGGTATAGTTTGGGGTTTTTGACGTCACAGAAAAAAATTCATGGTAAATATGTCACAGTGGGCATAGTTTGGGATTTTTTATGGGTTTTTCCCTAATTTTTAAGTTGAAAGTTTTAGTCTCTTCAATTCCCCTTGAGAAATAAAATTTCCTCTTTTTTTTTTTTTCCATTGATGGCCTTTCGGTGGAAAATTGTCCAAAAAGTCCTAAACCTATTGTACGGTGACCAATTCAGTCCTAAAATTTTCAATTGGCCAATTTAGTCACAAACCTTTTGACGATTCTCTAATATAGTCATTTTGGCCAATTTTAATCGAAAATCATTGACGTGGATACCGGTCGTATTACGTGGATACCGATCGTTTTATATGGCACGGTTGGCACTAATATGAACAATTTTTACCATTTTTTTAAAATTTTCTGAATTTGTTCTTTTTTTTCTTTTTCTTTTCATCTGTGATCGGTCTTGGCCGGCCATAGGCAAGGGCAACCCATACATTTGGGCGAGGGATGGGTGGCTAGTGCCATGACGCCCTCGCCCAAGCAAGGGTGATGCTCACCTGTGGGTCATTACCGACAATTGCTGAGATAGGCCATAAGTGAAACCGGCGACCAGCCATAGGCTAAAAGGAAAAGAATAGGGAAAAAAAAGAAAGAAAAGAAAAGGAAAACAAAAATAATTTAGAAAATTTTATAAAATCGTTCAAATTAGTGCCAACCGTGCCACATAGACGATTGGGTTAACTGAAGGCCTAATTATAAAAAAAAAGCGCTAACTTTACTTTGAGTGACAATTTAGCCCAAACTTTTTTTTTATCTTATAAAAAACTACAAACTTTCACTTAAAATCCAAATCTGGCCTGAACAATTTGAAAATTTCACATTAAGGGAGCTAGATTTGGGACTCGAATAAAAGTTTGTGCTTTTTATTAAGAAAAAAAAGTTCGAGCCAGAATTGTCACTCAAAGTAAAGTTTGTGTTATTTTATTGAAATAACTGAACCACCATGTCAAAAATTTCTGGACAAAATTAGGTTGAAGGACTACACTAGAAAATTCTCAAAGGGTTTAGGACTACCGGCTATATTAAAAAATTTATGACTGAATTAGCCGCTGGACAATAAGTTTGAGACTTTTTGGACAAAAATTTCACCTCTCTACATATTTCTCATCAATAGACGACAAAAAGAAACAAGGATAAATAATGGAAAAGCAAGAATGGGTGGGTTTAGTAACCAAGAATGGGTTAGGCCTAAATGGCACGAAAAATTGGTGACGATTCTCCAAGCCTCATTACCTCGTCCACGGCGGATTGCTGGTTAGGCCCAACAGAGTCCCTTAGGCTTTTCAGAGATGCTGCACTCGACAACGAGACAATCATTAGTTTCTGTCTATATCCTTCGCAGGATGGTCACTCTGGAACAAGTGGACTCGCTTAACCACTCTTTCTAATCTCTTTTTGTTAATCACGATTATTTACAGCACGTTAATTAGAATTTTCCTTAATAGACTAACTTTTTTTTTAGATAAAAAGGCGGACCATCAAACTGTTTTGAAATTTCATGCGCGAAAGTGATTCAGGTCTCTTTTTAAATACATAAAATCTTAGAGCTTTTGGTGAATGGAGACAAGGGAAGTGTGATTCGATTCTCGATCATGTTGAGCTTAAGCAAGCATGAATGCGTCCGAGCGGATGAAGGGAAGGAAGATGAAATTTTCTACCACCCAGGTTAGACTCTAATAAGGAGTTCCTTCGCTATCCTTTGTTTGTAGTGAAAATGGCAAGAAGCTTTTGTCGAGGGAAAATAATGAAAAAAGGAAGAGGAATACACGATGAAATAGTAAGGAAATAAGAGAGAAAATTATAGGATCATTGATTGTTTGATTTTTTAGATGAAGGTGAAAAGTGAAGAGATAGAGAGAAATTAAGATATTGCAACCTTAAATTGGATAGATCACATGTAGGAGAAAGCTTACTTTAAGACCGCAGATTTTTCAGTCCACCACTGCCCAATGGAAGAGCACATTACTCTTGCCCCACCATGATGCTAGTAGGGAAATCAAGACCAGTGATACACTTAAGCTTGAGCCTATCCTTCACAAATTACCTGAGATTTTCTGAGATCGAGGATAGATTGGAGAATCGACCAGCGACTTTCGATTGGGAGCTACACATCATCACTAATAATATCGTCGAAACTCAATGATAAAACTAAAGAAGAATCTCTAATATAGAAAGCTAGATCTTCTAGTTTTGATACTATATTAAATGGTGTGTTACGCCTAGATTTCAACAATTAAAGTGAATGGTCAGAAAAAGAAAATTAGAAATGTTGACATCCTATTTTGCATCTTAATCAATGTGAGTTTAGGACCCTAATGTGTCTGTAATAAGCCATACATCACACTTTTAAAGTGCTAGGTCTCTAAAAAAAAACCTCAACTTTAGGTCCGATTCCAATTTCGTTCTGAATTTTTTTTGGTCTAAAAAAATCCTCAAATTTCACTTTAGTCTCAAATCTGCCCGTGCTTCCAAAAATCGCCATTGGTTTCTTCAAAATTATCAATATCAAAAGACTGTTATTCTTTCATACAAAGGTGAGGATATTGATGAAGATGCACATTTTGATAATGGACATGTAACTAGCCTTGATGTTGTTAATTTTGAAGAAACCAGCAGAGATTTTTGGACGCATTGGTAGATTTGAGATTAAAGGAAAAGTTAGAGAGGTTTTTGTAGACAAAAAAAAGTTCGAAATATAATTGAAATTGGACCTAAAGTTGGGTGTTTTTTAAGTGAGTTAGGTCCGACCATAGAAAATGTTCATTCTCACCTACCTTTTTGCACATCTTCTACAAAAGAAAATTATCACCGGCCTTACGAGTTCGTCCACATCCCTCCTCTTCTGCAAAAATAATTAAACCTTAAACTTGCGGTGATCAGCGTGGGGGGGCTCCGACCCAGTTGGCTCCAGAGGATAAGACCAAGCGTGGGATTTTCATAGTACAGTGTTGCCCCGTCAGGATTGGCCATGAAAGATCAATCATGAAGTTGGAATTGCATCACCATTTCCTCTCCACCAATCGTTCCTTCTATTTATATAAGTGGTCTCTCTTCTCATCATTTTAGTAGAATGCCAAAACAATTGTGTCCAAGAGCTCGCGTGCTGTGTGCTTACTTGCATAATTAGGCAACACTAAATTAAATATGAGTCGAATGCCATTTGGGAGGCAATCGAGTACATAGATATTTCTTTAGGGAGACACCGTCCATGTAAGAAGCAATTGTGCGTTGTTAACGCTAGATTTGTCACGTGTACGAGAATTCGACGCATGCCCGACTTTTGAGTGCACATGTCACCAAATTAACGATAATTATATTAGTGATCTCAATACTATCTACATAGGAAAGATGACACCAATGGTCCCTGAACTTTAGCCCAATATGCGATGTGGTCCTTGAACTTTTAATTTGTTCAATGTGATTCTTAAACTTTTGATACATGTTCAAAATAGTCTCCGGACTATATCAAAATTTTAATTGTTGTCCTTGAACTTAAATTAATGGAATGATAACATTGGATGGTTTATACAACTCAGGGACTAGTTTGAATATTTACCAAAAGTTTAAGGACCACATCGAACAAATTAAAAGTTCAGGGATGATATTGTACATTAGGTTAAAGTTCATGGACTACATTGAATAATATAAAAGTTTATGGACCATATTGCATATTGAGCTAAAATTTGTAGACTATTTACGTCGTTATCCCATTTATATATATAACAAAAATTCCTAAAACCAGAAAAGCCAAAAGTACGTTTGCATCAGCCGTCCAACTACTCTTTTCAATCCACGCAAGATGAGTCTCCATGCGTGGGATGCCATGTTGGATCACTTGTCTTGTCCCCGTGGCCACAAACTTTATATGCTTGATATAACCTTTGCATTGTCCTTTACTAGTGAAAGTGAACTTGGGAACCTAACGAAGAGCATTAAAATATGTTCCTGAAAGGCAGACCAACTTCTACTATATAACCATCCATCACGAAGTAGTAAAATGGGAAGACTTTCCCTCACCAAATTCATGGAAGAACACATGAATTATAATAGTTCTGATTCATTAGGGTTTTGCCTCCTCCCATCTGAGCTCATACAGAGCATCCTCCTGAACTTGGCTTTGCCAGAGATCGTCGGCCTGAAGCTGGTGAACAAGACGCTCGCCACCGTAATCTCCGACCGGAGCTTCGTGCGCGAATGTAACATGAGATCGAGCTCGGCTTCGTGGCTCTTCGTCTTCAAGAAGAGGTGGTCCAAGGACGCGACGCTCATGGGCTTCACAGACCAGTCGATGTCGAACCGCTGGTTTGAGATTTCAATCGCCAAGATCTTGGAGCCCGTGGTTTCACCGGGTGAGGTCCTTTATTTCTTGACGGCTTCCGGGAACACTTTCTTGTTTGCTTGCAATAAAAATAAGGAAGTGATTGTGGTCGATTTGATGGCCAAAAGGGTCAAGAAAGTCCCGCCAAGCCCGTTGGGTCCACGGGGCACCTCTTCCTGGAGGAGGTCCGGGATGAAGCTGGTTCCGGGCAGGCCTCCCGGATCGGGTCGCTTCCGCTTCTTGTTCGCGGAGCTGGTGGAGGAACGGCCTACTCTGTTTGAGTACGACTCAGAGACCGACGATTGGAAGACGGCCGAAGTGGAAGAGATCGAAGGCCACTCACAAAGTCGCGGCGAAGGACTCAAGGGATGCGTCTTCCTTCATTTGGTCGACGGATCCCAATCAAACACGATCATTTCGTGTGGATCCGAAAGCCTGAACCCATCAGTCCTGCGGCTCGGATTCAACAGAGGAGACAATCGAGGGAGGGAACCGAATGCTCGACTTGGTTGGGATCGCTCGGTTGATCTCATACGCGTGTACGGCGACGGCCACCTGATGATAATAAAATCGAAAGACGGCGATGCCGCGCGTAAGAGGACGAGATTCTTGGAGAGGATAGAGCTATGGGGCTTGAGCGAAGACGGTAGAAACTGGGAATTTGTATCGGAAATCCCAAGAAATTTGATAGGACAAATTGGGAAGCCCTATGGTGTTTTGATGGGTTGCTTGCAAGAAAGAGGAGGGATCATTAGGGCGTGCTTGGTGTGTAATTGGGAAGGTGCGTGGGACATGATATGGCTATCTTATGACAAAGCAAGGGGTCAATGGGCTTGTGTCCCAATGCCTGATTCCAAAATGAAGGGCTCAAACTTAGCTGGGATTTCCTTTTCAATGGGCCTAAATCTATAAAAATAAAAAAAAAGAATGCATAGTTGAACGTGGATTCAAACATCTCATGTAGTTTGAATAGTCTCATTAGTGCACGCATCCAATTTATGTGAATCCAGTTTATGCAAGTCCCAGACCTTTTTTTTTTTTTTTGGCCAATTGAATTCTAGACCTTTAGCATTTGTACCAATTCAGTCTATCCAGTCAAATTTGGCCGAAAATCGTTAATATGGATGCTGGCTGTCCTATGTGGCGCAGCTGACGCTGGCGTGAACCTTTTATTCGGTCCGCCTGACATCCTGTATTGTACATCTAACGTCTTATCTCTATGCGTGAACTATCACCAAATGCAACGACAATGATCTCTTTCATGCAAATTAGGAGGAAAAAAAAAGAATCCTAGGATTATCTTTAAAACGATACAAACATTTAGTTTTGTCATGTGAGATACAGATTTAAGTCACTGCACATAATCTTTTCAATCCTAATAGTACACGCGTGGTCCGTTAATTGATCCACACGAAGTGCCAAAGGAAAATCGATTTAAATCATTTTGACCGGATCAAATCGAAGAATTTCCTAAATTTTAACTCGATTCCGAGTAACCTTTTTCTTTCTAATTGAGAACTCACGTGTCCTTTTTCAATTTAGAGGGACCAATCTCTTAGCCATAATAAGTTATAATCCCACATATTTAGTATTGCAACATATGAAATTTTAGGGAATTTTTTTTTTAATTATATAAACGATAGATATTACGACCTGGGCAAATCGTTTAACTGCGCCCCTCTGGGCCTCTTGTGGATCTCGGCATCCCCGAACGTTAAACTCTTAGGAGGTAGAAGCAGCTCTCACGCCTCAAGAAAGATAGTGGCTAGAGGTTCTCCTTCGTAAGATTGGTCTTGAGTAGGACAGTAAAAGGCTTCGACTTGGGCAAGGAATTAAACCGTGTCCGTCTGGGCCTCTTGCGGGCTCCGGCATCCTCGGACGTTAAACCCATAGGGGTAGAGGTAGCTCCCACGCCTTGAAAAAGATTATGGCTAGTGTTACACCCCATAAGACTTCGACCTGGGCAAGTCGTTAAACGGTGCCCGTTCGTGCCTCTTGTGGATCCCAGCATCCTCGGAAGTTAATCCTCTAGAGGTTAGAGGCAGCTCCCACGCCTCGAGAAAGACCATAGCTGGAGGTTCTTCTCTGTAAGATTACCTGAGCATGCTCTTAAAAGGCTCCATCTCGATCCTCACTTGAATCTATGGATCATTGATATGTAAAACAACTAGAGGGTATTCCTTGCTCCTAGGGAAGACAGAGATATAAAGGGGATTAGGAATGTCGAGCGTGCGGGTACTGATACGTTAAATAAATATCGCAACATATGAAATTTTGGGGATTATTTTATCTTATATAAATGATAGATATTTATTATTTGGTGTTTAAACCGGTTCTCGAACAAAGGAACCGGTTTGTCACGGTTTGGGCCGGGCTCAATTTATTCCAAGACCGAGCCGGAACCCCACGCGGACCGGAGGCCTAGCGCGACTTCTTCGAGCACCCTCAACGCTCGAGGATTTGCAGACGATTTCAGGAGCTGAGATTCTCTCCGGCGAGGCGACGGGGAAGAGCAGAGGAGGAAGATGACGATCGACGACGAGAGCTCGGTGTACGTCGGCGGGCTCCCGTACAACGTCAGCGAAGACTCCCTTCGCGACCTCTTCGCCATGTACGGCTCCATCGTCGCCGTCAAGGTCCGTTTTGCCCCCTTAGGGTTTTCGCTCCATTTCCAAGGGTTTTCCCAGTTTCTCGTTACTTGGTCTGGAGGGTGTTGCAGAGTCGATTGAACTGAAAGCGATGGTTGTTTTTGAATCGAAGTGACGAAAGTTCGGAGTGGAATGTGTTGCACGGGGTCGATCTCTGTTCTTCTTTTATAGGGTTTTGTGATCCAGTGTGCAAAGTTTGGTTTTTTTGCAGATTATCAATGATCGTTCCACGAGGGGGAAATGCTACGGCTTTGTTACTTATACTAACCCGAGGTCGGCGATCGATGCCATCAACGACATGGACGGAAGGGTATGTGTGTCTTAGCAAAATCTTTCCGGAGGTTTTACTCGTCAATGTTGAGTGCAATTCGGCTGCTTTCGTTGCTTGCTCTCTTTTTAATGGGGTTTTTGACATTGTGGCGTTTTGGTTTAGAGCATCAACGGACGGGTGGTTAGAGTTAATGGGGTGAAGAGTAGAGGAGGTAGATGGGGTTTCGGCCGCGAGGGTATGCAGCGAAGCATCGAGAGGGGCATGGATCGAGAGCGAGGTAGGCATAGAGAGAGGGACTATGATCATGATAGGGACAGGCATTTCGATCGATATAGCGACAGGTCTAGGGAGCGGGACCGGTCTCGAGACCATGACCTTGACCGGGAAAGAGAATACGAGCATGCTCACAGTCATGATTATGAAAGGGATCATCTCGTGGATAGAGATCCAGACGACGGCAGGGATGTGGGCGACGATGAGCAAGAGCACAGCAGGGAGCACGTAAGGGTTCATGACATGGGCACAGATGGTGATATGCCGATGGACAGAAGGGACCTTAATGATGCCAGTCAGTTTTCAAGGAAACGGAGAGGGTAAAGAAACTCCATGTCAAGTTCAATCTTAGTTTTGCTTTTGCATTGTTTGCTTTCTAATTTTTTGTATAAGTTAAACAGATATTTGGAAAAAGACAAAGAAAATCAGGCAGAAACACAGTTATGGAAATGGGACTTTATGGAAATTTGAAATAATAAAAAATCTCTCTCTGAGAATGGACGCCATTGTCCTGAATCTAGAGAAGACAGTTTCACATTTTTTATGTAATTTTCCTCTAAAGGGAGAGATCCTTTAGATCAGTTGCTGCATGCTAGGCTGGCTACCCTCCAGTACCAGTCAACCTTCTGTCCTTTAAAATCACAGTTCTTTACAAAGTAAAGAGTTCTTCGATTTTCCAACCAAAAAAAGGAGTTCTTCGATTCATATGATGTGTTCATTGATTCGGTTAGTTGTTGGGTGGGAGATCCTTCCATTCACTTTAGTTGTTTGAGTTTTTAATTTGAATCATACAAGCCCGTTAACCGTCTTGCCATGTTTTGTTGTTCTGAATAGAGGATGTCTGCCGTTTGTAAACAATTGAGTGCAAGTAGTAGCTTAAGGTTAATCATGACTGAGTTGAACTATCTTCATGCTTCTTCTATGTCCTTCGCTGGTTGCAGTTCCAGTCCTAACAGCCTTCATAGTAGGGAACTTTCATCAGATTTGCTTTATGATAGTATTGATCAGGTATGTAAGCTTTGGAGTCTCAAATTTCATCTTTAATTTTCTGTGCTGAAGTAATAAGAACCATCTTTCCATTTGACAGGCTAAAGAGCAACTGGAGATTTCAATTCAGAAGCATGAAGAACTCAAAGACGAGGTTGTATTCCACTGCATAATTTGATTTATTGCCTGAAAGAAAAGAATATTCCTTAATTCTGTAGAGATGTGTTAGCTGCTAAAAAAATGTACATGGGCAAGGAAAAATTTAATAAGGAGTAATTGGACCTAGATTGTCTCATTTCAACTCAAGCAGCTGAACCAGGAAAAGCTGCCTTAAAACCTGGTCTTGGCAAATTCTTCTTAATCCCGTACTCATCTGAAGTTGCTTTTGGGCAGATCTCTCAGATGGAAGATAGGTTGGATGAAAAGCAACGATTTATCTTGGAACTGCAGAAGAAATCTAAGGTAACTTTTCAGTTGTCACAACACAATGGAATGCTAAATTGAGGATGTTGCATTTTTTTCTCCTTTTTAGTTCTTTTCGGTCCTGTGAGTTGTGGCTTACCTGGCTTGTAATATAATCAGTTGGATTTGATGTTGACTGCAGAAATTAGAGGATTCGTTGACCTCTGCAAAAAAACTAACTTCTCGACGCAAGATGCAGTTGACCAAGGTATTTTGGCCGATACTCTTTGTTGGTTTTATATTTTTCAGCCACTGCTTAGGGAAGTGCCTGAGTTGGTGAAATTTTTGCAGCTTCACAAATGCTATCTTCAAATCAGAGACTACAGTGACAAACTTAAAAGCTGTGAACAGGAACTGCAGGTTAGCTTTTTCTTTCTTTGTTGTGTTGGTAATGCAGAGTTGCAGAGAGTTCTTTTTCCTGCATACTAAGGTTGTTCTTTTGTAAATTTTAAGCAATGATAAAATAGGAAGGGATTGCTGCCAACTTCATTTTCCCTCCACGTTTATAAGGAATTTATTTTGATTCAATGCCTAGGGCTCTTTTATATTTCTAGCATGTGGAGAGGACAGTAAACCCAACGCTGAACATTGGCAAACTCCTTTTTGTAATTTTTTTATTTAGTTAAATTTATAGCTAGTACATTTAAATTATTTTGCTTTGAAATTCTTACAGCTTCTTTAATTTTGTAAAAGGATGTAGCATTGGATAAAGAATACAGTGACTGTTAATGATCACTTTTCTAAAGAGCTTTTATCATGATTGAAATTGTTTTATTTTTGCTATCTATTGTATTGTTAGATCAAAGAAGTCATCATGTATTCAGTATATTGAAAAAAAGTGCATATAGTGGCGTGAAAGTACCTATTTGGGGGTCTATGTAGTGATTCAATTATGTATTTCTGTTTTAGCCCACATTCAATACATCATATTAGCAAGGAAAATATTTCTAAAAAAACTACGTTGATATCAAAGAAATATGTTCTATGATTTTAATCGCCAAGTGGATTTTAATATGACTTTAAGTTACTTGTTCTGATTTGGTTCAGTCGAGGCTGCATTTGGACCTGAGTTTTTCCTACTGGCTTTGGTTTTCAGTTTTCCGCGGTTTATTGCCCATTCCATGTTTTGAGAAAACTATGGTGCTCTCAAGAATGGGGGGCTGGGCATGATTAACTTTTCTATTAGCTGCATGGTTGCATTTATACCTTTCCTTGAGTTGTAAGTGATTGGTAAATGAGACTGCATAGAGAGAACTTTTAGCATGCGAATG